GTGAGCCACCATGCCTAGCCTGGAGAACCAAATGATAAAGGAGAGGAACCAAGGCAGATTTGGGGACCCAAATACCAGAGCAAATGAACTTTCCTGTGTTACTCAGCTCCACAGTCAGTGGTCCAGGAGACAGGGTCTGATTGGCCAAGCTTGGGGTCAGGTGACCCTATGCATAGCGGGAGGGCAGGGCATATTAATTGACATTCCTATCCATACTGCCCACAGCAGAGGAAAGGTGATACCTGAAAAAGATATCAAGCTGATTGTAGAGAAATGAAGCTGGATAACCAAACACCAACAGATGTCACCACATGACTTTGAGGACAATTTTTATCAAGTGTGTAAAGTATGTGGATTGGTGTTTGAGAAATAATAGGTTTTTCAATATATGACAGAATTGATTGAGAGTTGCCTGCAGTTTTGAAAAGGATCCTGCCTTTGATACTCTGCCTCCTAAACTACATTGTAAGCTTCATGAAGGCAAAGATGCTGGTATTTATTAGGTGCAAAAGTGACTGCAGTTTTTCCAATTAAAAATTGCAAAACCACAATTACTTTTGCACCTACCTAATAAATCTTTCTTTAGGTTCTCCACACACTATTAGGTATAAGATGTCTTGGCCTTTTTCTCCGGAACACCTGTGATAGAGGATCTATACCCCTAGAGAAGTGCTCAGGTGGAAGCACAAGTAAGACGGTTTGTGGGAAATGAGCAGTTCCCAGCGCACTTGCTCTGACCGCTCTTGACTGGCTGCTCTGGACAGCATATGGGAATGCAAGGGAGTGAGACTGTCCTCATGCCTAGGGTAGCCTTGAATCAGCCTTACTTTATGAGAGAGCGAATTAGTCACAAACTGGCATTTGAGAAATGTGTGTGTGCATGCACTTACAAAACAAAAACAAGAAACGACCATTTTCTGTTTTTTTTTTTTTGTTTTTTTGTTTTTTTTAACTTAGGCTGGAGTGCAGTGGCATGATCTTGGCTCACTGCAGCTTCGACCTCCTAGGTTTAAGTGATACTTTTGCCTCAGGCTCCCTCCACCCTCCAAGTAGCTGGAACAACTGGCATGTGCCACTACACCTGGCTAATTTTATTTTTTTATTTTGCAGAAACAAAGTTTCTCCATGTTGCCCAGGCTGGTCTCAAACTCCTGAGCTCAAGTGATGCACCTACCTTGGCCTCCCAAAGTGCTATGATTGCAGACATGAGCCACCGCACCTGGCCTGTTTTTCTAAAATTAAATTCAGTTGAAGTGGCCATCACCAAGGTTGATGATGACAAGTTCATTGTCAGATGATTTTGGTGTCCCTTGCCCGTGTCCCTTCCCATTTGAGATCATGTGCACCACACCACTGGCCCCATCCCAGGGCTTATTAGGCAGCCCAGTAAAATAGACCCTGACCAGTATTAGTGACTGGTGCCACTGGTCCTTGTCCAGACAGCCCTGCTGACTGCCTGTTCCTACCCTTGAACACCTGGGTATGGGTCCTAAGCAGAGTTCACCAGGTGCTCACACTCCCACACGTACAGCTGTGACCATCCTAGCTTCTGTAGTCTCCAAGAGCTCCGCAATCAGGAGGTACACAGGATCCTATACTGAACCAAACCAGCAGCCTCTCCCTTCCATCTACAAGGATCTACCCACTGTTAACATCAGGCCCTTCTTCCCTTTAATGTTTTCTTGTTTTGTTTCATTATTTAAGAGCTTTATGGAGATATAGTTCATATACCATACAATTTATCCATGTAAACTGTAGAATTCAGCAGTTTTTAGTCTATTCACAGAGTTATGTCGCTATTACAACAATTTTAGAGCATTTTCATCACCCCTAAAAGAAACCCCGTGCCCATTACCAATCACTTCCATGCCCCACCCCACCACCCCTGCTCCCAACCCTAGGTAATCTGTAATCTGCTTGTTGTCTCTGTGGATTTTCCTTCTCCGGACATTTCATATAAACGGGCTTTTACATTCTATGGTCTATTCTGGCTGGCTTCTTTCACTTAGCATAATGTTTTCAGGGCTCACCTATGTTGTAGCATGTTGTATGTTCCATTTTATGGCTGAATAACATTCCAGCATATGGATATACTGAATTATATTTCTTCTTTCATCTGTCTTATTAAATTTAAAAATATATATGTATATATAATTTTTTTTTAGAGACAGGGTCTCACTATGTTGTCCAGGCTGGTCTCAAACTCCCAGGCTCAAGTGATCCTCCTGCCTCAGCCTCCCAAAGTGTTAGAATTACAGTTATGAGCCACCACACCCAGCCTCCTTTCATCTGTTGATGAACATTGTGGTCCTTCAGTTCTTGACGCTTCAAGCCACCCTCTCTTCAGCTCTTTTCCCTCTGTGGCCCCAGATTAAGGACCGCAAACTCACATGCCTGGCAGCCAGGTATTAGGAAGATAGGAGGTAATAAGGACGTGGCAAATGAGTGATTGTGCCCTGTGTAGAACTGGCAGGCTCTACTCAGCTGTGGCCACATGGCCATCTAGGCCTGATATGATCAGAGCTTCTGACTGTACCTGAGAAGCCGGAGTCTGGATTTTTTTTTTTTTTTTTTTTTTTTTTTAGTGGGAGTCTCGCTCTATTGCTCAGGCTGGAGTGCAGTGGCATGATCTCGGCCTACTGCAACCTCTGCCTCCTGGGTTTAAGCAATTCTCCTGCCTCAGCCTCCCAAGTAGCTGGGATTACAGGCATCTGCCACCATGCCCAGCTAATTTTTTGTTTTTTTGTATTTTTAGTAGAGATGGGGTTTCACCATGTTGGCCAGGCTGGTCTCGAACTCATGACCTGTAATCCCAGCTACCAGGGAGGCTGAGGTAGGATGATTGTTTAAGCCTGGGAGGTGGAGGTTGCAGTGAGCTGAATCATGCCACTGCACTACAGCCTGGGCAACAGAGCAAGAATCCATCTCAAAAAAAAAAAAAAAGAGGCTAAATGCTGAATATGATCCCTGAGTGATGCAGATGCATGGCTAATCTCAGGGAACCTGTGATTGTCAGCTGGAAGGGACAATCCCCTGGCAACTCCTGCCATCTCATTTGGCAATGCAAAAAGGCTATTCATCGAGGCTGAGGTGGGCGGATCACAAGGTCAAGAGATGGAGGCCATCCTGGCCAACATGGTGAAACCCCGTCTCTACTAAAAATACAATAATTAGCTGGGTATGGTGGTATGCACCAGTAGTCCCAGCTACTCGGGAGGCTGAGGCAGGAGAATTGCTTGAAACTGGGAGGTGAAGGTTGCAGTGAGCTGAGATCCTGCCACTGTACTCCAGCCTGGCGCCTGGCGGCAGAGCAAGACTCTGTCTCAAAAAAAACCAAAAAACAAAAAACTGCCATTTATCTTTTTGGAGAAGGAAAGCCCTGTATCTGTGGAAAAGACAAGGGATTTGAAGGCCCAAGTCTAGAATCTAATGCTCTGGGTTAGGAAGGAGGTGAAATTCCTCTCATTCTTTGGCTCATGAATCTGCTGCAGCAGAAAAAACAAAGCCTGAGCTGATGCCTACATTACCTCTAAATTGGCTTGCAAATTACTGTGGCCAAGTCCAGGATAGACTGTGACCTGCTAGTGTGACCTTGATTATGACTAAGACCTCCGCCATAGTTGAAAACTGCTGATTTTGGCTGGGCGTAGTGGCTCACTCCTGTAATCCCAGCACTTTTGGGGGCTGAGGTGGGAGGATCACGAGGTCAGGACTTTGAGACCAGCCTAACCAACGTGGTGAAATCCCATCTCTACTAAAAATTCAAAAATTAGCCAGGTGTGGTGGCAGGCACCTATAATCCCAACTACTCAGGAGGCAGGAGAATTGCCTGAACCAGGGAGGTGGAAGTTGCGATGGGCTGAGATGGTGCCACTGCACTCCAGTCTAGGTGACACGGTGGGACTCCATCTGAAAAAAGAAAAAACTGCTGATTTTGTATAACATATGCCCTGAGTCCAGGAGGACAAATCTGTGGAACGAAGAAAAGAGAAACAGTAATAGTGTTGTGATCTTATGTAGAGAAAACATGCTAGTAATGTAGGTTGGGGAGTGGAAAGTGTTGAGGTTTATGACAACAGCAAGTGTTTATTGGGTACATAACCAGTCCATGTACTACTGCCCACTTTCCATTTTGTTTTGCCTGTGACTATGAAGGAAGTGAGTATTTTTTCAAAGGAAAGCAATTAATAGAACTCAGCATCAGTGTAGCACTTGGTGTTTGCAAAGAGGTTTTAAATGCGTTATCTAGTTTGAGCCTGTGAGAATAGGCATTTTTACCTGTTTTACAAATGAGACATTCATATCACTGAGACATAGAAGAGGAGAAATTACTTGATTAAGGTATTCCACCAAAGGGACCTATAACTTAAATCTGTATCTTTGATTTCACAGAGACAGCGTTCTAATACTCTTTCCAATACTCTCCAATTTTGTTGCATCTAAGTAATAGGTATAGCTATTTTTGGATTTAATAATGTGTTTAAGTTTATACTGATATTACCCACATAGAAAATAATAAAAGGAAATGATGGCTTCCAAAGTGTTTTAGTATTTTTAACATTCTTTGGTTGAGTCCTCAACACTAATAATTAATAATTGCGAGCAAATGTGCCTGTGAATTACTGCAATTAGGAACTCTATATGTCATTAATTCTTACAACACTCTTTTAAGGTAGTTATCGCTATTATTATTATTAATTCCTATTTTAGGATTGAGGGAACTAAAGCTCAGAAATTTAAATATGTAGCTCAAGACAGTAAATTTCTGAGTTAGGATTTAAGCCCATTGTAAAACACTAAAATGATTTAAAAAAACTTATACTGCCTTCCAGAAAAAGTGTGGCTCCTTGGAAATTATTGAATTGGAGTCATCAGTTGGATGCATTTGGGTATATTAAGAATGAAGTTACCTGTTAGGGCTACACAGTGTCTTTATTAAAGCTCTGTTTTAAACCAGGTGCTGTAACAGACGCTCTTTTTTTTTTGCATTTTGCCTTTAGGTCTGTCAGTTTGTCGTTTCTGTCAATGGGCTTAATGTCTTGCACGTAGACTACCGGACCGTGAGCAATCTGATCCTGACGGGCCCACGGACAATTGTCATGGAAGTCATGGAGGAGTTAGAGTGCTGAGTTCCTGGGCCTCCCAGCCCTCTAGCGGCCTGTGGGTGATCGAAGCCAGAATGACACAAAGCAATGCAATGATGAGATTTCCATGCAAATGGATGGTTTCAGTCCTATGAATCTTCTCCGCACACACACATCTAAAGTTGAGTTTTATACACTGAATGTGGAAGAACCGGGTAACATATCTTTTTAATAAGATGTCAGTGTAGAAAACATTTGGGAAACAGAGTTTTCCTACATGGTAGAAATGCCTTACTAGATTTCTGTTTGTAGGTCTTGTTTGTTGTTTTTTATCTTAGTTTGCAGAAAGGTGTTGAAATGCTTCTCTAGTCCAAACAGCAACATGCTAAAGTCCCCTTCTCCAGAGTCAATAGAGTAGTCGTTAAGGGTTTTTAATTGTACTTTCTCCAAAATTAGCACGGATCTATTTGACAAGGAATCTAGATGTCACCAAGATTCAAACTGAAACAACATCCAAAGGAATAAGACCTGTTCACTAGCATTTTCAAGGGGATTCTAAAGCATTCAAGTGCTTAAAAGCCATAAAAATTGATTTCTCAATTCCTGCCTTTAGTGTCAACTTTTAAGTTAGTACAGGTTTCAATTGTGGCATTAGCTAAAACAAAAACACAACAAAAAACGAAAAAAACAAAAACTGGGTGATGCTATGGGCGAGGGTAGATAGGGAGAGACTGCACAAAATTGTCCCTATTTTCTGTCTGAGCCTAAAATCATTTTGTTTTATAAATCAGGTATATTAGCTTTCTAGATTTAATCTTGAATATGTTGAATGTTAAAACAGAGAAGTTTGTATATACACGTCATTAAAAAAATCAACCCTTCTGGCAAGATTTCACTTTGAAGGTGTCTGTTTTTAAGCGAAGTCTAAAACTTTGCTGATATGTGATAAAACTTGAACTCTAGATTGCCTCCTTAGCCTGAATTTTTACTAGCTTTCTAGTGTAACATATTCTAAGGACATGACATGCTGCTTATTTGGGGGAATTGTTTTTCACCAAAATGACCATCTTGCATTGTAACTTTTTAGCTCACTTGTATATATGCATGTTTTCATTTTTGGTCTAGAAAATAGTACATTTCGGGGCTTGGTGTGCAGAGGAAATTCCTCGAAGTGCCAAATTAGGGAGTTAGGCAATACTAAATTCTTCATTCCAAATAAGGGATCTGAATGAAGAGGTTAATTTTTTTATCATGCATTAACAAAATAAAATATGAATGTCATACCACAGCCATTTCTTTGTATTAGGTTATCATAATGTACAGGTACTGGTGGAATGGACCTACTGTGCTAAATATGTTATGGACATAGATATATATATTTCTGGTAATCTAACGTTTCTGATTTGTAGCTTTAGTCAGAGAATAGGATTTTGGAGGGACAGAGAATGTCTAACAGTAATACTGTTGATATACATTTGAGAAATACTATCACTTCTGTATGGGTGTGCGTTTGTACTATATGGCAGGCTCTGCGCATTTAATGTCTATGATATTCTTTAACCGTCATCACCACCTTGCAAGGTAGGTATTAACATCCACATTTTTTCAGATGTGGAAACTAAGTCTGAGCAAGTTTTTAAATGGTCTCTAAGTTCACACAGTTGCAAGCAGTACTCAGTGACGGAGGCTGAATGCAAACACAGGTTTAATGCTAAATCCCATGTTACTCCCCTCAGCCTTTCCCCATTTAAGGACCTTACATTGAGGGTTTATTCTGAGCCAGGCTCTGTGCTAAGACTTTCTGCCATTTGTCCTTATTGGCCTGTGAAGTCGATATGGTCATTATCTCCACAAATGAGGAAACTGACTCGTAAAGTGGTTAGTCATATGCCCAAGGCCACAAAACTAATGAAGTGGGAAACCTTACCACTGGCTTTAAAAAATTTATAGCATCTTTAAAAGATGAGTCTTAACTGCTTTCTGTCCTCAGGTATTCATTAAGTGACAAAAGAAGAAGGAACGCCTTTCCAGAAATGGCATCTTCTTCTTGCCTGCTTTACCCATTATCTTGGACCCTGGCATAATAGAACTTCCCTTTAGCCAACCTAAGCACCAGAGCAGCATCCCTCTGTGTCTATTGCACACAACCTCCTCTTGCCCGTGAGGAAGGAAGGAAAGAAGGGAGGGAGGATTTCCTTCTTTGGTTCCCATCACCCTAGGTTTAAAGGCCAAATTCCAGGGAATCTCTTAAGGCCATAAGAGATTTCCCTTAGTTATTCCTCCAGCCCACCCCTTATATCTTTACACAGCAATTAAAATGACTACACCTGCTTCCCCGGGGGCCCTATCTCACTCCCTCCAGCCTTTGCACATGTACTTTCTTCTTTGTGGAAAGAAGAACATTCTGTCTTACTGTTGCCTGGAAAACTCTTTCTTCATATAAATTCCCTTTAGAAATTATCTCCTCTGAGAAGCCTGCACCAGCTCCCCAGTTCTAGGATTGATGCCTCTTTTCTAAATTCCCATGGATCCTGAAGTCCTCCCCGTGCCCCGTTAGAGCACTGATGACATTTACTTTGAAATTTCCCTGTTACTGTCTATTTGCTTAAGTAGACTCTAAGTATCTTCAGAGCAGGGGCTGTCTTACTATCCAGGGTATTCTCTTCACCTAGCACAATTCCTGCCACAGAGCAGTGTGTCAGCTCTCCATTGTTGTCTAAAAACCCACCTCAAGGGTGGGGCACAGTGGCTGGTGCCTGTAATCCTAGCACTTTGGGAGGCCAAGGCAGGCAGATCACTTGTGGCCAGGAGTTCAAGACCAGCCTGGCCAACATGATGAAATCCCATCTCTAATAAAAAACAGAAAAATCAGCTGGGTGTGGTGGCGTGCACCTGTAATCCCAGCTACTCGAGAGGCTGAGGTGGGAGAATCACTTGAACCAATGAGGTGGAAGCTGCTGTGAGCAGAGATCAAGCCACTGTACTCCAGCCTGGGCAACAGAGAGAGACTCTGACTCAAAAAATCAATCAATAAATAAGTAAATACATAAAAAAGAAGAAAACCCAGTCAAGTGCAGTGGCTCAAGCTTGTAATTCCAGTGCTTTGGGAGACCGAGGCAGGTGGATCACTTGAGGTCAGGAGTTTGAGACTAGCCTGGCCAGCATGATGATTTTCCAGGCATTTATGTTTATGTTTTTGCTACAGAGATGAAAGTAGTTTTTGTTTCTTCGTTAGCATATTAGCATAGGATGCACAAATTGAAAGCCATGTTCCCTGGTAGAAAGAAGTGCTATTGCCTTTTGGATTGATTCTATTGTCTGATGTGTTATCAATCTTTGTTAAATAATTGTGTAAATTAATATAGAGACTAGTTGAGAAATGGTGGATAACATGAAGAAGATACCCATCTTTGCATAGATTAGATGTGATCAGCTTCACACTATCATATAAAAGGTGGCTGCATTGGAGAGACAGGAATTAATATTAAAAATGATTTCAGTTCAGATCTATATCTTACATTTCCAAATACTCTTTTCTTTCAAATATGGGGTATAAGTAATCTGCTTTAAGTCCTATTTTAGGCTGGGTGCAGTGGCTCATACCTGTAATGCCAGCATTTTGGGAGGCTGAGATGGTAGGATTACTTAAGCCCTGGAATTTGAGACCAGCCTAGGCAGCACAGTGAAACTCCCATCTTTACAGAAAATAAAAAATTAGCCAGGCGTGATGGCACACACCTGTAGTCCTAGCTACTTAGAGGCTGAGAAGGGAGGATAGCTTGAGCCTGGGAGGTTGAAGCTGCAGTGAGCTGTGATTACACCACTGCACTCCAGCTTAGAAAATAGAGCAAGACACTATTGCAAAAAAATTAAAAGACCTGTTTTAAACTGGTGATATTAGCTATTCTCTCCTGTTGACTATTAATCTTGTTTCATTTTTTATAAATAATAAGAACGACTAGGGAGGCCGAGGCAGGTGGATCACGAGGTCAAGAGATTGAGACCATCTGGTCAACATGGTGAAACCCCATCTCTACTAAAAAATACAAAAAATTAGCTGTGCATAGTGGCGCGTGCCTGTAATCCCAGCTACTCAGGAGGCTGAGGCAGGAGAATTGCCTGAACCCAGGAGGCGGAGGTTGCGGTGAGCCAAGATCGCGCCATTGCACTCCAGCCTGGGTAACAAGAGCAAAACTCCATCTCAAAAAAAAAAAAGAATGACTAAAACACTTCCATTTTGCTAGTTGGCTGAAATCTATTGATGTAATTGACCATGGTTTTACTCACTTAAGGCAGAATTTCAGATGTGACATGTTTTTCTTCAGTTCAGTACCAAAAGGACAAATCTGCCATGTACCGAAATGAAATTTGTCATCAAAGACAGCATATGGTATTGTCAAATGCATTAATAAACAATAAAGATACTTAGTATATATCTTTATTTTTAAATTAGGTTGAAATTTACTTCTCTTATGAATATTTATGCCATAATACTTAAAATTATTGTATGAAAACACAGATGTATAGCATGAAAATAAATGTGACATTTTTTAAAACAATGACTTTAGGGTTTCAGCTTTTCCTGTCTTTTAAAACAAATTAGCCATTTTTTATCCTAAGAAAGGATTGTGTTATAAAGCTGACCTTCTACTCGCTTATCAGAAAAAACACCTGGGTCTCATATCTGATTCTCCTATGTAGCCAAAAGTACCATTTGTAAGTGTACCTAATGATGGATATTTTCTGAAGTTCTTTTGCCTGGAAAACAAATAGTGCATTAAAAAGCTTTATTTGGTACTCTGCTGGATTCAGAATCATTTTCTCCCTACCTAGATCAGTACCAATGGGTGTCATAGAATATTCTATACTGAAAAATACCATGTGTTTGTTTACTACTCAGGGAGAATGTTAATTTTTTTCCCAAAGAATTAGGAAGGAAAACAGTTACATAATTTCATGTGTGTATTGGTTACTGTAAAGTGTTGGGATGAGAGGTTATTCAGACTACACTCAAAATTACCCAAAAACACTTTTGAATTTTCTATAATTTATTCACTAATTCATTCTTTCATTCAGAAAACCTTACTAAGGACTTGGGTTTTGCTGGACATTGTGTACAGGTACTATAAATACAAAAATGAGTAGACCTGCCCCTGGACCCAAATAGTCCTTCAAAAGTCACCTTTGAGCCTATCTCCTGGGAGTCTCCACATACAGCGGGAAATAAAAAATCATGGTGTTAAAACAGCTGGTTTAATGCTAGAAACCACCATCCACCCAAGCGCCAGAATACAGACAATACTTTATACTTAACTGTATTTTTTTCCCAGTCACTTTTCCTTATCCAAGGAAAACACAATGATGAACATTGAGTTTATAATTTTCTCGCTTTTTTATTTCTTCAGGGTTGTTTATGTTTTTTTATTTATTTTTGTTTGCTTTTTTTTTTTTTTTTTTGAGATGGAGTTTCGCTCTTGTTACACAGGCTGGAGTGCAATGGCACAATCTTGGCTCACCGCAACCTCCGCCTCCTGGGTTCAAGCAATTCTCCTGCCTCAGCCTCCCAAGTAGCTGGGATTACAGGCGCATGCCACCATGCCCAGCTAATATTTGCATTTTTAGTAGAGATGGGGTTTCACCATGTTGACCAGGATAATCTCAATCTCTTGACCTCGTGATCCACCCACCTCAGCCTCCCAAAGTGCTGGGATTATAGGCATGAGCCACCGCGCCCAGCCTTTTTTTTTTTTAGTTTTAGTTTTAGTTTTTGGTGCCATGACTTGGATGTTTATGTTTTTTAAAAAATGAACTTCATTTGAAAAGCACCAAGTTTTATATGATCTTCTAGGACTTGGTTGTTTTCATCTAGTATTAATATAATTAAGTTTCTTTCAAATGTTTGTGTATAGTTGTGATTCATTCATTTATCATAGCTTCATAAATTTCCAGACCACCAATTATTTATCTGTTTTCTTGTCTATGGGCTTTTGGGTGGTTTCCATTGTTGTTGTCCTAACTGGGGTTATTAAGAACATTCTCATAGGTGCAGGAGTTTCCCTTAGGAGTCCACTTAGGAGAAATATTGCTGTGTCATAAGAAATGTCAATGCCCAACATTACAAAGTCACAGCTAGCTAGCCTCCAAATTGGTTGAAGTAAAACATAAAAGTGATGTTTAGGCTGGATGCAGGGGCTCATGCCTGTAATCCCAGCACTTTGGGAGGTCAAGGCAAAGTGGATCACTAGAGGTCAGGGGTTCAAGGCAAGCCTGGACAACATGGTGAAACCCCATCTTTACTAAAAGCACAAAAATTAGGGCGTGGTGGCAGGTGCCTGTAGTCCCAGCTACTGGGGAGGATGAGGCAGGAGAATCTCTTGACCCCAGGAGGCAGAGGTTGCAGTGAGCCAAGTTTGCACCACTGCACTCCAGCCTGAGAGACAGTACAAGACTCTGTCTAAAAAGAGATAATAAAGTGATGTATAGTAATCAATATCTTCTCCAACACTTGATGTTTGAAACTTCTTAATTTTGATCAAATGGATGTTTACTTTGTCAGTAATACTGAAGATTCTACATTGCTGCAAAGCTAGTAAACTTTAAAGCCCAGAAACCCTAAGAAGTAGTTTGTCATTTGTCAATAACTACATCATTGTCTTTATAATACCCAGGATGTCTTGAAACTTTTATCTCACAACTCTGCGACTTGAGTGAGGCCTGGATTGTTGGGAATTGGTAAGATATATTCAGGAACATGCAACAGATGATTTATTAAGTGCCTACTATGGCCTGTCACTTAATGTTTGGCCAACAGCAGTAAGACAGACAGATCCTTTTCTTTATGGAGTTTGCATATTCTTGGGGGAGACAGACAATAAGTAAGTTATAGAAATAAAATAGTTAATTTTATATAGGTGTAAGTGCTGAGGTGTAAAAGAAACCGAATGAGTGATAGAGAATGACCAGGTTTCATCTGAATGAAAAATGGGGCTTCTGGGTCTATGATTCCCCTGAGACACCATTCCCATTACAATCTGTAAAAACAGCACCTTCTGAGTTATAAAGTGCAATAGCCCTGAGAAAAAGCCTCTGCAAACCTGATGTTTTGAGTTGATGCCTAAAGTAAGGGAATGAGCCAGCACTAGAGAAATCTGGAAGAAAAGCATTGCAGGAAGAGAAAATAGGAAGTCTAAAGGAACCAAGACTGTAAAGGTCACAGTGATTAAGAGCATGGGCTCTGGGGACATAAAGTCCAGGTTCAGGCCGAGTGCAGTGGTTCACATCTGTAATCCCAGCACTTTGGGATGTTGAGGCGGGCAGATCACCTGAGGTCAGGAATCTGAGACTAGCTGGCCAACATGGTGAAACCCCATCTCCACCTAAAAATACAAAAATTAGTCTGGGTGTGGTGACTCAGGTCTGTAATCCCAGCGCTTTGGAAGGCTGAGGCAGGTGAATCACGAAGTCAGGAGTTTGAGACCAGTCTAGCCAGCATGGTGAAACCCTGTCCCTACTAAAAATACAGAAAATTAGCTGGTGTAGTGGCGGGCGCCTGCAACCCCAGCAACTTGGGAAGCTGAGGCAAGAGAATCTCTTGAACCTGGAAGGTGGAGGTTGCAGTGAACCAAGATCGTGCCACTGCTCTCCAGCCTGGGCAACAGAGTGAGACTCCATTTCAAAAAGGACAAAAACAAACAACAACAATAACATAAATAGAAAAATTAGCTGGGAGTGGTGGCAGGCTTCTGTAATCCCAGCTACTCTGGAGGCTGAAGCAGAAGAATCACTTGAACCCAGTGGAGATTGCAGTGGGCTAAGATCGTGCCACTACACTCCAGCCTGGGCAGCAGAGCAAGACTTTTCCTTAAAAACAAAAATGAATAAACAAAGTCCAGGTTCAGATTCCTGCTGTAACAATCGGGAGCACATCCAGTTACTCAGCCTCTCCAGGCATCAGTTGGTCCTTACCTGTAAAAGGGGGATAGCTGTGCCTACTCCATTTGCCTACAGTGAGGGTTAGATTAGATGACGCATGTAAAATGCTTATCCCCGCGCCTGACCCATAGTAGCTAACCAATAAGTAATTGTTTTTCTCATTTATCTATCTACTAAACAAAAGAGAAAATGTACTCTGGAGAAGTGATTCGTCCCAAAACTCAAACCAACTGATGTGTAGCTGGGACTGAAATTCGTGCTCAGAAATTCTCAGTCCTATGCTTTTTTCTGCACATCTTTCTGCACTTTAGTTCTCTCACTTTTAGGTGGGATAATAATGTCCTATGAAGTATTGTATTCTGTTATTAAGGCTAATGCATTAATACATGTAAAGCTTTAATGCAGTATCTGGCACACAGTAGGTGCTCCAAAATTAACTACAGGTATTGTTATCATTATTAATACCATATTATGTTAATTACCCATCATCTTGGCAGGTCCTCACTAATGCACAAGATCATTACATTGTCTGTACATTTATTTATTTATTTATTTTGTAAAGATGGGGTTTCAGCATGTTGGTTAGGCTGGTCTTGAACTCCCGTCCTCAGGTGATCCACCCGCCTTGGCCTCCAAAGTGCTTGGATTACAGGCATAAGCCACCATGCCCGGCCTGTCTATACATTTATATCTTCACTGGCAACATGCATTTTAGTTCTAATTATCATGAGACAATAATACAAGTGTGATATGGTTTGTCTCTGTGTTCCCACCCAAATCTCATCCTAATTTGTAATTTCCACATATCAAAAGAGGGAGGTGACTGGATCATGGGGGTGGTTTCCTTCATGCTGTTCTCATGCCAGTGAGTGAGTTCTCATGAGATCTGATGGTTTTGTAAGGGGATTTCCCCCTTTGCTTCCTCTTCTCCCTCCTCCTACCTTAAGAAGAAAGTGATTGCTTCCCCTTACCCCATGATTCTAAGTTTCCTGAGGCCTCCCTGGTCATGCTGAACTGTGAGTTAATTAAATCTCTTTCTTTTATAAATTACCCAGTCTCAGGTAGTATCTTTATAGCATGTGAGAACAGACTAATACACTGGCAATATACATTTTAGTTGTTATAATTGTCATAAGGCAATACTACAAGTATTAGAAAAATACATATAATAAATTCTACGTTCAAATCACCCATTCTGTTGCTTTTCCTATATTCTTCAGGTACTGAGAAAGGGATTCACGGGTTGGTAGAAAATATAGCTCTGGATTTCTTTCTTTTTCTTCTTCTTCTTCTTTTTTTTTTTTTGGAGTCTTGCTCTGTCACAGTGGCATGATCTCAGCTAACTACAACCTCCGCCTCCCTGGTTCAAGCAATTCCCCTGCCTCAGCCTTCCATGTAGCTGGGATTACAGGCACCCGCCACCACACCCGGCTAATTTCTGTATTTTTAGTAGAAATGGGATTTCACCATGTTAGTCAGGCTGGTCTCGAACTCCTGACCTCAGGCTCTCCCCCTGCCTTGGCCTCCCAAAGTGCTGGGATTACAGGTGTGAGCCACCGCACCTGGCCAGCTCTGGAATTCTGGCTGTAAATTGGCAGAAGGCAAAAATAATTTTGCACTGGATCCTCATTCAGCTATGTAGCTTTTAAAACTAAAAATTATAAGTAAATAAGTTCCCAAACAATTTTTAAAGCTTAAAATATCACACAGAATAATTTTAAAACACTGCTTAATATTATCTACTTATCACCCTATCAGACTCCCAGCACTTTTACAGCCTGTTAGAAAAGCAATTAGTAATCAACATTTATGTACTGTGTGTTTTATACAGCAAACACTCTTTCTCAGGATATTTTGGAGGTTTA